TTTTGAACTCCTGAGCTCAAACAATCCGCCCGTCTCGGCCTCCCAGAGTGCTAGGATTACAGGCGTGAGCCACTGCGCCCGGCCGAATTACTTTTTTTAAAAAAGAAGAATTCAAGAAAAGACTTCAAAAGGTTCACTGAGATTTGGGTTTAGGGAGGGAAGTTATGATAGCATATTATAGGAATTTGGCACAGGAAAAATTGACACCAATATATTCCATGGTACCAAATGGTAAATTTTTTCTTCCATTTTTTCTTAATTCACATATAAATTTGATTTCCCAAAACATCCAACTCTAGAGTCATATTTTTAAAAATAACAATTTAAAATCATGTGTTGGACAGAAATGAAGGCTTCCATTGACAAGATTGTGGGGTCTGTTAGTATCTATGGGTTGCAGCTACTAAACTGAACTGCAACATACCCATTTGATCACTGGGCATCCTCCTGATTATACTCACGACCAGAATCAACTTTGCCACCATATCCTTTGGATGGCCAAAACCGTAAGTTTCCCATCAAAGATGAAACTTGGGGACAAGGTTTGGCATTTCATATTGGTTGATGAGGGAGCAAATACATTTAAAAAAACCCCACCCTTTTTTAATGAATTTCATCAAATGATCACTGTTGTTTTAATTGCACGTATATTTCATGTTGCTTCTTCTCACATCTTTTTATCTTTAAAAGGCATCACTTTTGAAGATTGGGCTCCCCTGCTTCTACTTCCTGGCTGTCTTTGTGTTACCCATGCCAATGTTTATGAGCTCTCCCCCATAGGGACCAAAACTTTGCTTCCCACAAAATCTATCAAGTACTTTCAATGTAGGAGCACGAAACAGGGTATATAATTTCCAGCATTTTTTTTTCTCTCCTCACTAAAAGGTTTTAGATCTAATGTCTTGCTTGATCAAAGACTTTCACATCAAAGTGAAAAGAACAAAGAATAGGACAGAAGTGTAGATCTACTTTAATTTTCCATTGGATTCCATCCACTGAGAGAAGAGTTCAGCTGCCTTCCGGATGCAAGGAGCATGGTTCAGGTCGCAGGCAAGCTTCAAGACAGCAGAGCGAAGCATCCTGTCCCAGACTGAGCCCTCGTCACTCCAGCTTTGCCTGTCAATCACTGGCTTAAAATACTGGAGAAGGTAATGCTGCAGAAAATATGAAATGGTTTACAGAGAGGCTAAATTTAGTTCTGAACACAGCTCTTACTCACCCATGTAAAGGGCTCAACTCTAAACTTTCTGCATGAATCATGAATCTTTCCCAAAACATAGTACCGCTTATTTTGATATTTCCCTTCTCTTTTTCTGGCTCCCACCTATCACACTTAAGAAACAAGAGTTTTTGCATCAAAATATGATTTAATTTACTATCTGAGAGGGCATATCAATTGATACAAGATAAAGTCACCTTTAGTAGAGATGCTTTGCTCAGGATTTAGCTCTTAGAATTGGCAGTGACAAAGAACAAGGGGCATTGACCACTAGGTGCTGTGGTATTGGCTGTGCTGCCAGCCAGTCCCCTTAGCTTCTCCTCCATGACTTAACTCCAAGGACTTCACATAAAACAGACTGGGCCTCACTGATCCTCTCGACACTGTGTATTTACTTAATAAATTTCCTGAAAGTAACACAAACCTTGAGGTTTTCTGAGACATCTGAAATATTCCTTAAGTCCATCATGTGGTAAAACAATCCTAAGTAGCTCAGCCCTTTGAGAAGTACAGGGCTGCTAGTTTCGTGCTGGAGATAGCGGGTCATGTCGAGGGCTTTGTCCAGGGTCAACCTTCCTGCACTGAGATATAAAACAAATGTTAGTGGTTTGTGCTTATCTTATAGTTTTTAATATTCTTAATATTAAAACAAATATGAAACAGAACCCAATAACAGAAGTAGTTTGTTATAACCAGACCATTTGGTTTAAATTCTAGCTCTGCCACTAACTGTGTGATCCTGGACAAATCACTTAACCTCTCTGGACCTTATTTGTCCCCCTTATATAATGCGGGTGATAATAGTATCTTCCTCATAGGCTTGTTGTGAGGATGAGCATTAGCTCATTTCAAAAAGCACTTAGAATAATGCCTAGCCCACAGTATGAGTTTAATAGATGAAATAAATATTAGCTAATATTAACATTTAGTACAAAATAATATCAGAGTTTTTACATATTATATCATTGTCTAATTGCTTTGTGTGTGGGTTTGTCCAAGCAAACTTGAGGACAGGTACCATGTCTAGTTTTTCTTTGATGTTTGTCTTTAATCCTACCAGAGAAGCAGTGATCATTTTAAACGGGACAGAACAGGTATGTTCATCTTACTTAGATTGTAAAGTTATATGCCTTCTCTACATTTTGTTTCAATGAGAAGAACAAACAACAGAATTATTATTCTGAATACCAAAATGCTAGAGTATCTTCTGTAGAGGAAATAAACCATTACAGCCTCGCTCTTGTAAAGTGGTTCTCGCAAGTGTTTCTGGAAGGCCGTGTGTCCGCACAGGGTCTATAAGCCATTCTTGCGAGCATCCAGCTCCAGCTGGCGCAGCTGTGTGTTACGGAAACCGATTCCAGCACAAAGGATGTCCCCTTTGAATTTATCATTAACATAATGTCCTACCTCCTTTGGTGATTTAAATTTTTAAATTTCTGTCTCAAAAGAGGCTACTGAAACTAGAAGAAAATGAAAAGAAAAAGAACTAACTTTTGTTGTGCCATACTCTTCTCGATCACGGTGCCATACTACTTTAAAACAGACTTGTGGAAATTTTTTCAAAAATTTCGTCTGAAGACAGAGGGCTGGACCATATGCTCTGTGATTCTGTGCTCTGCTCTATTTTTTAAGAAACAAATCCACAAAATGTCACTACTCCTTTCCACATGCGTGAGTACCATAATGCATGGAGCAGTTGATACCTCAGCGTCAGCAGCTGAAGGAAATGGTATTCTCGGGTCACAATTTAAAAAAGAATGTTTGACACATTAAAAGCTACTTTATTTGTTCCTTCTTCGCTCCCACTGCTTCACTTGACTAGCTTAAAAAAAGAGAGAGAGAAAAAACCCTTCCTTTATATAAAACCTGTTTTTCTTTTCAGCCTAGCCTAATTGATTTCTTACTAAAATCAATGCCATTATTAGAAACTTTTACTTTTACATTTGCCTACTTTATTTTAATCTTAATATTTATTCATAAGGGACCTCTTTTCTTTTTATATAGTCAATAAATTGTTTAATAAAAAATTCAGGTTCTTACCACCTGCCCTATGCTTCAATCAATGCATAGAATGTTATCTGCATGTTTGTTTAGCTTAAAGAATAAACACATATATAAGCATATACTTCGGCCCAACAGCAAAAATCTATATCTACTTACTTGTAAACAATTTCAGCTAGATGGTACCTTTAAGAAAAATCATGTTCCTGAGAGCCAATTTGGGATTTCTTTTTAAGGTGTGGGATTAAAAGAAACAGACACAGTTTTTCTCTAAGGAAATTAAAGTTGTCTTTTTAATTTCACTCCATTCATACAAGGCCCAAGTCTTTAAATCACATTTTAAAAGTATGAAACCCTAATTAAAATAAATATCCATTTCTGGGTCAAATTCTGTCTCCAAATTAAACGTGGTCACTAATAATTCCTTTTAACTTTTGTTTTGTTTTGAAGCAGAGTCTTACTCTGTCACACTGGCTAGAGTGCAGTGGTGTCATCATAGCTCACTGCAATTTCAAACTCCTGGGCTCAAGCGATTCTCCTGCCTCAGCCTCCCAAGTAGCTGGGACTACAGTTCACACCACCACACCTGGCTAATTTTTCTATTTTTTGTAAAGATGGGGTCTTGCTCTTGCTCAGGCTGGTCTTAAACTCCTGGGCTCAAGCAATCCTCCCGCCTTGGCCTCCCAGAGTGCTGGGATTACAGGCGTGAGCCACTACACCCAGCCTCCTTTTAACTCTTAAAATAGATGTTTCATAAAGCAGGAAGGAAAGGGGTTTATATTATTGAGAGAGAATAGCAAGCAAAAATATTTAAGGCCTATTATCGAAGTTTTAAATTGTTTCCTTATACAATTACTTTTATTATAAAAGTAATATAAACAAATTACAAAACAACTGGAAACTAGAGAAGAGGGGAGAAGACTCATAATTTCACTACCCTACACATTTATTAATAGCATTTTGAAATAATTCCTTAAAGATTTTGTTTCCCATTTTCACTTATTTTTTCCTATGTAGTTGAAAACATTATAATACACAAACATTAACATATTCTGCTTTTTCCCCAACTTCATATTATTTTAAATATACTTTTCTGTGTTGTCACCTCCTCTTCCTACTCAACTCATGATGTTTTAAACAATTTGTATTAGATAATATTAATGATGTTAGTAGCTAACATTTATTGAGCAGGTACTGTACTTAATGTTTTATCTGCATTATCTTATGCAATCAAAACAATTCTGTGTATTAGACGTTACTATTACTGAAGTATTAAAGACTAGAAAATTTAGGCTTAGAAAGGTTAATGAAATCTTGCCCAAGCTCAAACAATTAATAAGTGAAGAGGTGGTACTTGAACTCTTCTGTTTTAATCCAAAATTTATATTATTAACTTCATTAATCTGTCTATCTAGTGAAAAAAAGATTATTTTTTTCCATTGATGCATCAGTAACTGTAGGGTTTCTCTTGCTAAATTTAGACTACCTATAAATTTATAGGCTGGAAGCAGCAAAAAATATTTTACAACTACTTAAAAGATTGGATTTCATTTGCTGAGTTGTCAATATTCTTCATTTTTCCTAGTCTTAAATTTTTAATCTACCTTTTCCACAATCTGCTCAGAGTTTCTTTTTTGAGCAGAAAAACCTCCTTCAACTAATGATGGCCTGCTTCCTAGCTGCCCTCTCATGCAATTGCTCCCATGAAGGATGAGGTTTTTCCTAATCTTGGCCTCCGATGAGCTATGCCACATGATGGTCCCAAGACCCATGGGGCTGAGGATTCAGCCTCAGTCCTCTCCTCTTTCTAACTAGAGGATTCTGTCATACCGAGAAGCTTTGCCTGAGAAATGTCCTGCCAGTAACTTTCACTCAATTTGACCTAAATAAGCATCTGAAAGGAAATAATATGTCACATTGAATAAAGTAAGTACATTATAGTAATTCTCAGAACAGGAAAAGCTTACAATGCACAATGCTTCACCGGATCCTCATTCCTTTCCCCCCGATCCTCATTCCTTTCCCCCCGTTGGTGATCTTATGACCTGATTCATTCTATATACTATTGTGTTGATGATAAACAGAAAAGGAAAGAAAATACTTTGTCCTTCCAAGAAAAGTCTACAAAGGAATAAACAGCCAATTCTTACTTCATTTCCCTACCAATTTCATATTGATTTCTCTGATGTAAGTAATGAATGGATTGTGCTCTAGGCTAAGAACTCATTTAAAATTGTAAAGGTTAAGACTATATTTACACTTTCTGTTTAAGAGATTACACAAATATTTGTTGTAATAGCTGCTAGCATAAACACATTTTAAATCTGGGGTCAAAAGCTCAAATGCCTAGAAGGGTCCACACTAAGTGAGTGAAGCAAGCAACCGTGTGTCATTTGGGACACACATTTGGTGCATGGGAGACTGCAGGCTGGCCTCAAGGGGAATGGCCCACTGTGTCCTCCTCAATGGCTGGCCTGGGGGAAGGGGGTCCACATTTACCAACTTTCATTTTTTAAGAGATTCCAGAAGTCAAGATTTTTATATAAAATTCTCTACATTTTAAAATATTGGATTAAATATATAAACACTGTGTGGGTCAAAATATCTTGTTAGTGGGTAGGCTTTGACCTAGTGTGCAGAGTTTGACCTCCATTCAGATTCATATCTTAAAAATAATAAACACTGAACGTTTGATTTTGAAATCTAGCATATCTGGTTATGGATCAGTTATTTCCTGTGAAGTCAGATGAAATTTTGCATTACCTAACCAGCTGAAACACATCATGAATCAGACCTATTCTGTCCTTAGGTCTGAGAAGTGTATGGTTCTGATTGAGCTGTGCGGTGAGCTCGGCCCATCCGTTCCCCTCATAGTGAACAACGTAGTATCCAGTGGAGTCCACATTAAATTTCACCCAGCTGGTCTCTTCAGGTAAATCCAGGGTGTCTAAGAGGAGGAAATTGGCATAGGCATTTCATTATCAATAAACATATCAAGAATATCTTCAAAACTGTTAGTTTTAACCCTATTACTAAGAAATCCCCAAACATTAATCTTTTATTATTAGATTTACTTACATAGTATCTTTCCTCCAACTAACTCAAAACATGAATTTTAGCATTGCAACACCCATTTAGCTAATTAGTTCATTACCTGTCTTTGATTTTAGAATGTGTCTGTGAATTGCATTAGAGGAACTCGTGGAGTAGGTCAGTGGAATGTGCCACAGATACCTATGTCAGAAAGTAAAGAGAGTTTACATGCAATGAATGACTGCTTCAATTTTCACGATGTCAGACTCAGGTGGTAAAAGGCACCTAAGCACCTATCTGTCATACTACCAGTGGCTTCTAAATTTTATGAGCTTAAAGTACCATGTTCTTAAGTATACAAAAATTTCTTCCATAATGATTATGAAAGGACAACAATATATACCTAGTTGAACTCTCCCTCAGATACCAGTGTAATTTGCTGTCCAAATTTCATACCATAAAAAATTCTGCTATTTGTAAAAGAAAAAAAAAGTCCAATATTCCTTTCATATTTTCAAAAACTCTGACAGCCTGATGTTAATTCAAATGACTAAATCAAGCTGTACAGGAAACCTTAAAAGGTAAAGAACTTACTCCAGTATGAGTTTTTACTTATCCTGTTGTTCAACAGAACTATTGACATCCAACCTCCCAACTGCTGTCTGACTGCAAGGAAGTGGTCAATAATGCTATAGCCTAGGATCTGCAGCAGGGCTTAAGTGCAGAAAGCAGAAAAGTAGAGTGGATTGGAGGAAAACGCCTCAGTTACTTTCCAATGGCTCTATTGTAGTAAATAACAGAAATTGGCTTTTTTTTTTTCTAAATAATTTTTCTAGCAGCCTCCAGAATTAATTTCCTGTGTTAAATCAAGCCATGTTAGCTATAGTAATTCTACACATGTAAAATCATGTGCTTGATAATACTAATGGATATAGAAAGAAGAATAACTGAGGAAGTACCCACCAGTCCTTAGAAAAATATAAAACAATAAAGGAAACAACATACACTGACTCCATCTAGTCTAGTTAAGGGTCAGAAAAAATAATCTACATGCTAACCCACAGAGTAGAGATAATTAACCAGCAAACTTAGAATCTTTACACAAAAAGGTAAAAGATGGACACATAGATACTGTCAAGACTTAATGGATTGGTATTTGAGGATGAATTTTGGCTATAAAAGAGAAGGAATTTTTTTCAGATAAATACGTTTAGGGGTGGTGAAGGGGAGAATAGCACTTCATGAGTTTGGATAGCCATGAATCAGAGGGTAATCATTTTATGAGTTTTCTAAACACTGCCCCAGAGAGAGGAAAAATACAGATTATTGTAGAAGATATTCATTATTCTGAGCCATCCACAGTTTTGAACTTTCTCGTGACATTTTGGTAAGTTACAAAATTGTGAGTCTTGCTTTCTTGATAATAAATCAGACGTTAAAATTTTTAGACTGTTTTGTCAAGCTATAAGTCATGTAAACTGAGGTTCAGATTTTAGAAGAACACACAGAAAAATGGAAGGATGTGTACACAGGAAGTAGCATAAGAGTTGCCGTTGGATTGGAAATATGCAACTGATAAAAAGAGAAAACAGTATATTCTATGTGTTAATGAACTTGAATATGCTTCCGATTCTCAGAAAAATTTTATAATTGATTGTTAGACAACTGAGACCTTAAAAAAAGAAAGTATCATCATAAGAATTAGCACAGGTTCACTTGGATGATTTCATTTTAGATTAACGTCATTCATCTTACTAACAGGGCTGATAGATCAGAGAAATGTGGACACCGTTGTTTATTGATTTCAGGAAAGTCTTTAACAAGTTTTCTCAGGATAGGCTGGTGATCAAGATGACAGTGTGTTTAATTGGATTTGCTTTCATTATTATCAACAACATCATATATTTTAAAATGTTACATTTATAGTCCATTTCTAAAAAATGAAAGGCAACAGGAGTTCTTAGCATCTAATTTATCACATAAGGACTATCTTTTCTCTGATGATAAGAAGCATAGTTGTCACAATACTCCCTAGAGGTAGGACCCAGAAGCCCCTGTGTTATGATAGAAATATAATCTGCCGTCCTCTGCATCAGAACCAAGGTTCTGAAGGCTGCATGGAATTACTAAGAGCGGGGCTGTTGAGCGAGGCTGTGTGGGCCACCTGAATGAAGCTCTTGAAATCTGCTACGAAGGCTAGTTCAGGCCTGTGATTCCTAAATGGAAATAGCATCGTACACAAGCTGCCAGAGGATCTAAGAGAAAACTAACGAAATAATGCACGAACTGAGATGAGGTAAACTAGACCAAAAGGGGAAAAGCAGCCACCTTCCTTGCAGGGTCCTCCATTCGGGATCCTCTTTGAAAACGCCCTTCAGGAAGCGCTCCTGTTGCAGTCTGAGTGAACGCCCGTCTCGTTTAACCACCACGAGGGGGATGCCTTTCTGGAGAGTCCACGTACTCATCATCTCTTTGACCTCCACATTTCCTCCCAAAGAGGCGAGCTGAAATGACAAGTGACCTTGATAATTCAAGAGAGAGGAGAAAATCCAAAGAGAGATCAGAAATTTCCGTCTCCCTGGATGCCAGAGACACGGCTTGGGGAGCGGAGTACACAGGCTGGTATCACAGGGCAGGGCAGTCCAGAAAACTGCATTTGGGTGGGCTACGCCAGGACTGCTCTCTGCAAATTACCTGAATGAAGGATGTAAGTGGGATTTTGTAGGGTCATCCTGTGGCAGAAAAAGCCAATGAGGAAGGGGAAGGGGATGAGACTGAGACTGAGCCTCCCTTCTGTCCCCTTTCAAAAAAAAAAAAAAACAATAAACAAAACAAACAGACAAAAAAAAAACCCAAACAAACCCTATTATAATAACAGTAGAATCCAGGAGGGGTGGCAAGAGGGAAATGCCCACCTTTAGGGAAACTTTAAATTTTCCAACAGAAAAATTTTATGTCAATAGAAGTACATTGAATGGAGAACAAACTTCTAGCTTCTGTGCTTTTAGTGTGCATTTATGATCACCGGATGATGCTAAATCTTCCTTTAGAAAGCATAATTTAGGAGATTACCATGACTCTTTAAAAAAAGTTTGCCTTGGCTCTGGGAAGCCGAGGCCGGAGGATGGCTTGAGCTCAGGAGTTTGAGACCAGCCTGAGCAAGAGTGAAACCCCTGTCACTACTAAAAATAGAAAAATAGCACGCCCACCCCTGTTGTCCCAGCTACTCAGGAGGCTAAGGCAGGAGAATTGCTTGAGCCCAGGGGTGTGAGGTTGCTGTGAGCTATGATGACACCACTGTACTCTATCCAGGATGACAGAGTGAGATCCTGTCTCAAAAAAAAAAAAAGTTTGCCTTTTTTCCCCTTGATGACTTTCTTTTCTCCCTCCTATAGTGCTTCTATAACTTCCCAGAAGTAAGGAAAAAGAAAGCCACACACTGTTTTTAAACCTAACAATATACATGTTTTGCTATTTGTCAGAGCCTAAGGGATGTCAATGCAGTAGTAACCACTCAAAAGAATTTGAGCTGAGATATTTTTAGCTAGCAGTGGGGTTGTGGGAACGCTGAATTGTAACAACAAAAATATAATAGCAACAGCATCATCCCCCTAAATGGCCTGAGCATTTCCCCTTCGGTCAGTTTCATTTTTTAAAAAAATTGCAGTCTTTCTCTCCAGCTTTTTAAAAGGACAGGTGGGCTATTCTATATGTCACACTCACTGCAGGTCATATCTCTTCTATTCTGTAACTCTCTTTATACTTACTGTGTTACTTGTCATCCTGGAATCAGAATAACAAACTCCACCAGATGTAAAATCACCTTCTAAACAACTCTATAAAACAAGAATAAAGAGCATTGCCATTTAGGCATTGATCCTTGGCTGAATATGCCTATTAGACATCAATGCAGGCACCTATTAGCACAACTAAATGAAAATATAATTCATCTAGACATGATGAAAATGAAAATGAGAAAAAAGAAGGCATCTTTGCAGTGACCTAGGGTAAAAATACACAAAAATTATTTTTTGTGTTTTTATATATGTGTGTATGGATATAAAGTTTCCCTATGTAGCATTTAGGGAATTCTGTCTAGTACTATTAACTTTCCCCTGTCATATTGCAAGTTCCCTGACATTAGGGGAAACACCATTGCTTACCTGGGTATTACTACAGTGGCAGTAGCATGTAGTGGGTGCACGACAAATTTTGTACACTAAATGCGAATGAAATCAGACTAAAGAAAACTACTAACTTGGCAATCAACTCTTGAATAAATAGTATTGAATGCTCTAATGGGAGGTGCAAATGAGAAAAATGAAATATACATTAAGGCTCTCAAATGCTTTTAAATGATTTTATGAAAAATAACAGCAAAGAATTCTTCTGATTCTCAAGTTACTATTGACATATATTAGAATTGAATTTATGTGACACAATGGTGAGTAAGATATTTTCAGGAATTTATTATTTTTATACCATAGTGTCTTTTGGCATCAGAAGGGGGTCAGTTAGAATCTAGGACTGATCTAGATTGATAGGGGGACTTTTCTGATAAATAGGAAGTAGATGTGATATAATTGAAAGAATGAATATCGGACATAGAGTCAGAAGACCAATTTTAAGTACTGACTCCATCACTGACTTAGTGATCTTGGGCAAATCTCTCCCTTAATATTAGTTTTCCCATTGATAAAAATGGGGTAAGGATGCCTACTTTATCTTTGGATACGGTTATAAGCATGATGTGGTAAAAAATAACACAGGAATCTTTACTTCTGGTCTAAAATAATCCTATCATTGCTGGCCAAATTTTCTTTTTAATCCTCCCCACTGCCAGTACGCACACCGAACAACAGATTCTTCCTTGCTGGAGAGAGGCTAACGTAATGTCTACACACACACACATACATGCACGTATGCACAGCAAGGGAAAGGGAGAAAGAGAGAGATGGGAGAAAAAAGCAACATGAGGCTTGGTGTTGAGAAGTTTAGGAGGAACCTTTGAGAAAGAGCATTTGGATCACTGACAGGAGTGATGGAAATGGATAGTAAAGGGCATTTTTATAAGTATCAACAAGGACTGTGTCTTTCAATTCATATCCTGATTTTTAAGAAGTGTAGTAAAAAATTTGAGCTACTGAAAAATAATTTTTGATTGCTATATTTTATATGTGATCTTTAACCACAAAATCACATATAAATTGGACCATGAGGGTGCTTTATAAGGGTATTAAAATATCAAACGAGATAATGCACATGAGGGTGTTTTTAAAACTGTAAAGTGCTACACAAAGATTGAGCAATATTATTACTGTCCCTAGGACACAGTGCTTATGAAAAAGAAGGACCTCTTCTGTCTACAACAGCTTAGGGTTCTTCTACCTGTGGGCATGAGTCCTCCTAGTCCAATGGTTCTATAAAAGATTATTCTCTTTGCAGTTGAAAACTTTAAAATACTTTAATAATTATTAGAATCATCTGAGTTGATTGAATGTTTTTTGCTTTGTCTCTCTTATTATCTACATGAATCCCAAAGACAAAGAGACCATGAATTAGTTCTTTAATCAATCCTTAACTATTTATTAATCAATATTATAAGAGCAACGATATGCTAGGTGCCATAGCATTCAAAAAAAGAATAGATATGATTCTTGTTCTTAAGCAAATTATTATTATTGAACCAATGAAAAACAACAAAAGAAAGTATCTTTATGTAGAACAGATCATCGGCGCACTTGCAGGCATTTAGCAGAGAGGCAAACCAATGAGGGCTGGAACAGTCTGTAAGGAGGAGGTGAAATCCCCACTGGATCTTGAAAGATGGATAGCATTTGAATTGCTGGAAACTAGAAAGGGCATTTCAGGTACCAAGGGCACTAGAAACAAAGGTACCACAATGTTGGGATTCAGCAAGGTTTCTTTTTATGAGGGAGAAGATCAGTTTCGCTCCACAAAGAATATATATCAGGGAATAAGGTTGAGTAGGTAGAGCTCAACCTTAAAATTTGGCAGAGAAGATTAGGTATTATGTGGTAAGAATTGCAAAGTTATTAAAGATTTTTGGAACAAGGGAAGATAAAAGTGTAGGATTAGCCACAGAAGGGAAACCAAAGAAAGGAAGGTGGCCATCCCACTGTGACGTCCTAGACTAGTCAGTATGATGTCACAGGAAAAAGAGAGGTACTGCCTTCTATGGACCCTGACAACCCAGCATGTGGAATATTGTTGACTGACAACATAACTATTAATAAGCTCTCATAATTATAAGCATTCATAATTTTTAGACTTAACAACAATCTACTGCTACCCAACATATGACTTACATTTGATAGACTGTGCCACAGATCATCGTTCTTCGCATTTCTGTAGCTGAAATTCTTTAAGTAGCGAATTATTCCTTTCTGGAATTTCTCTTCACTCAGAAAATCCTTGAGCATATTCAAAATACAAGCTCCCTAAAAAAAAAATAAATAAATAAATAACAAAACAAGACAAAGAGATAAAGAAAAAGGTAGTTTTTAAAGGAAACTTAAATTTTCTGGAACATGTGTGATGTCTGAAAATGACACATAAAAAGTGAAACAGGTAGCAGTAACCTGGCACCAAGGACTTAAATTGCTGATTTTACAGTCATATTTCTTCTGAAAGCAGAGCTTCCACCTGCACGCAACATTTACTACCTTGTTATAGGAAACTACATCAAACATTTCCTGTATTTGAGTAGTAGTTTCTGCTGGTTTGGAGATAGGGCGAGATGAATTCAGTGAATCTCTTGCAATTACTTCAAAACACACATCCAAAAACGAGTCATCCTAAACAGGGGAGAAAAATTTTTACTTTTAGTTTCTATTTGACACTCTAAAAGGAATAGAAAACATGCTAGGTTTAGTAAGATGTTCTTAGAGGTAAGAATTAATCTGTATTTCTTGCAAGATGTTTCCTTTCCTTTATATAATCACTTTCACCAATTCTGTATTTTAAAAAGGTATAAATCCCACAGTTTTTCAGATATAGCCTAATGTTTACATGTATCAAGCCTTGAGTATAGAAATAAAAGTTTCCATTTAGAATACTTGCTATGTGCTATGACCTGTCATCTGCAATCCTTTTGACACCTCTACAAAGGAGATGCAGTATCTGAATTTTACAAATGAAAATACACGAAGCTTTGGCATTAAACCGCAGATTGAGCACATACACAATAATAAGACCCTGACTTTGAATCCATGTCTGTACTGAATTAAATGTATACCCCGAAGACCTAATTAACCATGACTAACCACCTCAACATGCAGATTTGGGAAGCGTTCAGACTACCATACCCATTAAAAAAAGACATGCTTGAAGAAATCCCTTCACGCATTTTGGGGAAGCCAATAGGCGCTTTGGAAATTCCAGAGGAGTGTGCTCCCAATCATGTTCAATTCAGGTTACATGTCAACAACTCTGCGCTGTACCCAGTAGCCATGGGCATTGCTGTGTGAATGTATATATGAACAGCAATATTCTTTCCTCTCACCCCACATACACAGCTGTGTATTTGTGCTAGTTTGCCTTCTGTCCACAAACTTCTGGATGAGAGATTTATGTTGATTGTTTTCTAAAACCTTCAATGTCTCATCCAGTTCTGTGATCCGTTTTGTATATCAAACAAAACACCATATGTTCAAAAAACACATTGTGTAGTTTTCCCTTTAACATTCATTCAAAATTTTAGTAGTAAATTGATGATTCTTTAGGGCATATGGTATGACATGCAGAATTGTGAACTTACAAATTGCAGCTCCGGATATGTAGCGTTAACAGAGATAAGTTCCATGTAATTTGCAAAACCCTCATTAAGCCAAATATCATTCCACCATTCCATTGTAACCAGGTTGCCAAACCACTAGGAGGTAAAAACTCCATGTTATTAGAAGTTAAACAAATACACAAAATTATTATTATAACTGTAGTAAAAAAATATAATTGTTGCTAACTCTATTTTTTTGATTAGTTAAGGTCTCTCCTCCATCTTTGCTGCCCTTTTCTCTGTGCACAATTTCCTTCTACTGATTTATTTGCCTTCTCATTCTCACTACCACATATTTTCTTGTTTTCCTTTTCCTTTTTGTGTCCTTAATGCCTCTAACTCTCCAATTTCCATTCTGTCCACCCCACATTTCCTAGCTATTAGATTTAATATTAAGAAAAGAAAATCAAACATTTTACAGGGGTAGTTTTTCTTTCTTACACAATAAGAATAATCTTATTTTGTCCTTAATATATAACGATGGTCTAAGAAAAAATGTATGCCAAGATGTCGTTGGTGAAGTCACCTTTTTATATTGAGTAACAAGTACTTAGGAGAATCATAAGAATTCATTTAGGGATCTTGGATTATTACACAATATTACTGATGAGCAAATTTAATTGTTAACCTCTGCCCCTGATTTACTTCCAGGGATTGATTTGGCTACTAGAAAGAATAAAGGTCTTAGATTTAAAATATATATAAATAAAATTTAAAAGATGCATAAGGATAATCTAAACATTTACCCTTCACCTGTATTTGATCCATATCACACATTTTAAATATTACTATTCATTCATATATTTTATTGTG